GTTCAACGCAGATTCGGAATAAGAACCTTCTTGCTTTCAAACCTCTCTTATTTTCGTTTTTATTCTAAGTGTTTTAGTCATCTTAATCTTTGTTGTGCGGTTCTCGCAGATAGCCGGTTCCTCTGGAAACTTAGGATTTTCCCGAAGTTTCCTTATTTACGATTTATTTGACAGTAGGGTGAAATCGACTCCCACAGTATGACGACCTGAACGGCACGGTCTAGCTTGCCGAGACGGCAAGCTGGAGGGGACGGTTCAGCTCTATGGCTTAGAGAGCTGGATGGCACGGTCCAGCTCGCCAAGTTTGCGAGCTGGTTTGTCTCGGCCAGCTTGCCGGCTTGGCGACCGGAATGGTCTCGGACAGCCTTGCCATTTTAGTGAGTCGGACGTTACGGCAGATCTTGCTAAGTTGGCTGGTCGGACAACCGTGGGTTGTTTTTTTTTTATTTGCCGGTGATTTACATGATGATGATTGTTAAGTTTATGGAGTTCCTTTGTTTGGAAAATCTTTAGAATTCTCCTTGATGCTTTTTCGTATCTTTATAAATCTATTTTGAACTTTGCGGAGAGTTTTGGTCGTTGATTCCGTTGTAACCAATTTTGACCCCAACAGTTAGCCTCCTAGCTCGTAATAATCGCGGAGTTCTTGCGAGCGGTTTGAACTTATTAGGCAAGTTTGGTTGAATTAGGCGGAACTTTAACGACCAAAAGTCCAAAGATGAATAGTAAAATCTTGCTTATAAATATGTGGAGTAAGATTTCAAATTCTTTACTCACTTCTTTCCACATAAGGTTTCCTTAGGTAGAGAAGTTGGCTAGGTACTTTTGATACAGCCGAGGAGTCTGCTTTGGCCCATGATAGAGCTGCACGGTCCATAAGAGGCTTGACTGCTTGGACAAACTTTGTCTACTCCGATATGCCTCGTGGCTCTTCAGTGACTTCCTTCATCTCTCCTGATGAATCCCGATGTTTTATTTCCGAATTATTCAGCCCTCCATGTCAGCTACAAGCTCCTAAAAATAGCACCAACAACCAACACCAAAACTAATGAGTTCGCATACAATGGGTGGCCACAGGAGTCTGGATGTAGTTATCAATCTATGCACACTACTTATGAGCATTGTGATCATGAGCTTCCACCTCTTCCTTCAAGTACATGTTTTGGAGCTGAACTTACTATTCCAGAGACCAATAGCTATTAGAATGTGGCGAATTCTAGCATGGAGTATTCCTTTTAATTTGATGCCTTTGTGGATCAAAACAGTCTTGGTGAGAGTGGAACAGAAGGCTTTGACTCTTCATCCTCCTCGTTTTTCTACCAGTAATAGCGAGATGTCCAAGTTTGTGAGTTCATCGTTGATATGTAATCCCCTTTCGTTATTCACAATCCTTTTTGCCTCTATTATTGAGTGGACTGAAAGATATCGAGTCTTAATCTCTATCTATCTATCTCTCTCTCTCTCTCTCTCTCTCTCTCTCTCTCTCTCTCTCTCTCTCTCTCTCTCTCTCTCTCTCTCTCTCTCTCTCTCTCTCTCTCTCTCTCTCTCTCTCTCTCTCTCTCTCTCTCTCTCTCTCTCTCTCTCTCTCTCTCTATTTTGGATTGTGCCCATCCGTCTATTTTCGATCTGAGCAATCTTGATCTTTCCAGTTCCCGAACTGGTGTTTTTAGGATTTACCGCGGATGGCAAGGATACCAAGAGGTATTGGCAGACTGTACATGCTGCTGGAATCCCCCCCCCCCCCCCCTAACTTCGGGGTTCCTTCGGGGATTGGGTTAAAGAAGAACAAAGAAAGGTCCAAGAATGAGTACCCTTCGTTCCCTCAAGGCTATGCGAGGCTCCAGCATGATCCCAGATTCGGTGAAGTTTTGCCTTCCCAAACGTGGTCAACATGCCAAGCATCCACCTCCGGGTTACTTTACGTGCTACGAAGCTTTCTTGCTTCATTGCCAATTATGGTTTCTCATCCCGCGGATCATAGTCAAAATCTTGGATCGGTTCGATATGTCAATCAGTCAACTCTACCTCTCTGGGCTGCAGCATCTTATCGGGATTTTGGTTCTAAGTGACGAGCGCGGTATAAATCTTAGCGCGAATTACCTCGAGGCTATGCTGTCGCCCAAGCGCAAGAGCAAGGGTTATTATTACCTATCTCCGCGGGCGGATATGTTGATCATTGAGAAGTTTTCCTCAAATGGTCATGATTGGAAAGATTTTTTCTTTTATGTTCAAATCGATAGTGCCTCGGTAGAGGAGAGCTGCATCCCCATTTTGAGGAGCGAATGGGGAAAAAAGGGTATTTTGATCGTACGTTTTTGGGTATGTTGTTTCCGAATTCTAACTTCGTGTTTGGTTTATATTCCGCAGTGTATGGCCTCTTGCTCCGAAACCCGAAGATCTCCAGCAATTCAAGAGCCTTCTCCTTGGTAGTCCGTTTTATTGGAGATAGTTTTCTCCGAAGAGAGTCCGTCGTGCCGTTGCCTATCACTTTTCTCATTCTCAGCAGAGCAAGCCGGTTGAGGTTGAATCGGAGCCGAAGATGGACAATGTTCCGGACGCGAGGGAGAGGTCGAGGTCTCCACAGGATAGAGGTGTTCCCGCTGATATGGGCCAGTGGTTTGATGGTTTTCCAGAGGGCCAGGCCAGTGATGACGTAGAGATCGATATTACGGATTACATCGATTTCTTGGTTCCTCCATCCGAGGTTAAGCCGGCCAAGGAGACGCAGTTTACGAAAGCATCAAGGCTCATTAACAAGGTTTGTTACCCTTTGCTGATTCTCGTGATTACCCCGCTTATGATCAGACTATAATAGATTTTTTTTATTGCAGGGTCTTCGTTTAATGAATGAGGCTTTGAATGCGAGTAATGCGGAGACCCGTAGGGACGAATCCAGAGCTGAGGCAGCAGAAAAGGAGGCTGCTCGTCTTAAAGAGGAGATCAATGCTAACTCCTTTCATGCTCAAGAGTGGGCCGAGAGGAAAGTTGCCCGTATGAGGGACGAGCACGAGGCTGTTTCTCGTCGTGTCATGGAGCTTTCCGACAAGAAAGTTTTCCGTGCTCGCAGAGAGGGCACGAGAGAAATCGCTGAGATGGTGAAGGTTTGCCGTGAACGGTTTGCGACCCAATACTTGAGGATCAAGGATGCGAAAAGGATCAACGGTGACTATCGCGAGTGTCGTGGTGTGGTTGGCGGGTTATATCTCACTCAACTCACAGACTATTCGTACGAGAAGGAGTATGCCAAGCAAAAGACGCGCTTGGATAGGAAAGAGAAGAAGCAGTCCGAGCTCCTTGACCTTGAGGCGGGAATGTGGGCGCAGTGGGATCCCATCGCGGTATCGCAGGACTCAGTTGAAGTCGGGATGGAGATCCCGGACGAATTTGGCAAGGTTGATCAGCCGAGGGCTGATGCGAATGCTGGCCAATGCTCGGCGTTGGGGTATTATGGATCCGGAGAAATGATGATTTCGACATATGTTGTAGCGTAATCGTTCTAGTATTTTTATCGGGACTGGCCGTTGGTGGCTTTGAACCCTTGCAGCTAGGCGACGTGTATCAGACTAAGTTTTTATTAATGGAGTTTCTTTCTAGGTATAAAATCTATTTTTTTTTAAGTGTAGAGGAAAGAGTATGAGTTTTCGTCTCATATCTAACTCTTTGTGTGGATCGTCCTATTCGTTTTCTCGTATCGGGATGTTTCGACTTTGTTTTCGAGCGCTTAGATGTGGATGAAGAGACAAGCCTTTAGGATCTCACTTCATGCCTTGAGACGTTAGAGACCAGTGTGCTGAGTTTAGGGAAAGACCTAGGTTTACTTTCGGTTTTAAACCTTATCGATGATTAGTCGGCTCTCGTTTCGCCTTTTGCGATTTTAACCTGATTTTGTACCGATTTAAAGTCCGTTATAGGTTCTCGGCTTATATGACTTGTCTTGTCGAAATCAAGCATCCCCGAAGGTGCTGACCAAAATTTTGGATTTCTTTCATAGCGCGCTATTTTATCCTATTCAGATGTATAAGGACCAGTGGGTCAAATGCGTTTGTTTAGGACGGCAGGCGTGCTTGGCGGGGCCAGTCGACGAGCGTTTGTGATTTTATAGTCGCGGATGGACTTATGAATATTTCTCTAAGACTTTAGGCGATGTCTCACCGGTTCTTATCAAAATATTGATGTTGATACAATGGCATGTATGGATTTTTGGTCGAAATGACCAAGTTATTGAAATGTTTCAAACATCTCGAGTACAAGTATACGAATACTCGTATACGCACCCACTCCCCTCCCCACCCCCCACCCACCCCCCCCCCCTTCGGTTTTAGAGAAGGGGATAGCTGAACTCGTCTTTAGGCGAGCTGCCTACGTATCCCTTTTGGGAATAAATTCATCTCGTAGTTCTGGTTGTTGGTGAGAGTGTGTTTACTCGGCTATTGTTGACGCATCGATCGCTTTAGTCGCTAGATCGGTGTCTTTTTACGGGTTTTTCTCCTCCGGTTGGGTAAAAGTGATGGGTTCGGAAACTTGTCGTTTCTTGACCGTATTGCAGGGCTTGCTGGTTCGGGGTCGTTTTCCGCGGTTGGCGGAGTTGATTTTGCCCGTTTCGGTTTTACGATGGTGACAGCCATTTGCCTTAGTTTATGTTCCGCAAAAAAGCAAGACCACGATTGTCTTTGGCATCCCCAAATTGCAGTGACTCCCGTAGAAATTGGGAACTTGATGCCTAAGTGGAACGTCGATGGGACTGCTTTCATGGTATTTATCTGAGGTGTGCCCATGATTACGTTGTAGATGGCCGAACGAATGACGACTACGAAGGTAACAATCTTGGTCACTTCTTTTGTGGCCAGAGAAACTGGTCAAGGGTTTTGGTGTCGTCTCGACCTCCGTTAGTCGGATTCCCATTCGTGTCAAAGTGTCGCGGAAGATCACGTTGACGGTGCTTCCGGTATCAACAAGAATTCAGGCGACCTCTAAATCGCTTATGACTAGGTTGATGACGAGAGGATCGGCATGCGAGTGGTCGATGCCGGAAGTTTCTGCCTCTTCGAAGGCGATTACACCTCTTGGAGCATCATTCGACAGTGTCGGCCAGTTCGAACCTGTCTCGGCATTTCGTCGGTAAGACTTGATGGACGAGATGGTATCACTGTAGTACTGCAACTCGCCGATGATAATGTTAACCCTTCGGCGGTTAGCATCGTTCCCTCTCTCGTCTTGTCTTCATCGCGCTTCTTGCCCGTTTGGTTCCCTCGTGACGAAGTGTCTGCCAGTGAGTTCCTATCAGTTTTTGGGGGGCGATCCGAATTGGGGTTGAGGTCTTTTACGCTGGATACTTCGGAGAGTTCTCCTGCGAGCAATTTTGCGGCCAACCTTCCACCGAGAACTTTACAGTTCACGGTTGAATGACCGCGGGTCTGGTGGAAGTCGCAGAAAGCGTTCTTGTCGTAACTCAAATTCCTGGTCCACATATTCCCTGTGGTTCGCCCTTGCTCTGATCCAGAATTGATGGCGTAGTTATGCGCCCTTTGGACATCATGTCCCTTGTGATTGACGTACTTGTCGTTACGAGGGTTTTTCTTTTTCGGCTTTTGCTCGGACGCGGCGTCTTTCGCAGATTACTTTGTCGGTTTATGCTGTTCTGACATGATTTTAGTCTCCTCTTTGATAGTGATGTAATCGGTATCGTTGTGGAGCGCGTCATGGATCATACGCTACTTCTCGAGAGTTATCCATTTTCTGAATTATGGCATGAACCAGAGCAACTTTCTTAGCGCGTCGATGACTGCTTTGTTGCTTATTCCGCTAACCCTAGCCATGATGAGTTTGAACTTACTCATGAAGTTGCAGAGAGGTTCTTCTTCCTTCTGGGAAAGACTCCAGAGTTCGGCTTCTTAAGTTTTTCTGTTTATGGACATTTAGTACTGCTTGAGAAATTCCGAGGCAAGATGGCGGAAACTCCCGATCGAATTCCGCTTAAGTAGAGAGAACCACTCGAGCGCTGCCCCCTCTAGGTTTTCTACAAAGAGAATGCAGTAGCCCGCGTTTTGTTCGCTTTCCTTAAGTTTATCTCGCCCCATAGTGATCTGGAAGGCCTGCAGGTGCGCTTTGGGATCGATCATCCCATCATAAGTCGGCACTTTAAGCTGGTGCGGTGCTAGTGGCGTGGTGAATTCGAGACTTCACTGCATTTACCGCTGTGGCCATTTTTGTGATGTAGTCACGGAGATCGCGAATCTCGGTTGGCTCGCCAGCCATTTTTCTGACCACATCGGCGTTTGCTGCGAGTGACCTGAGATCGTTCCCCGGCCGTCTTTGCATGTTCCATGCAATAGAGCTCCTTCTTGT